CACACACGGCAGCAAGCTCTTGAGGCTTGAAGTGGAAAATGGAGCTTTGAGAAGGTGTTTGTTTTCCCAGGGCTTCCTTGGGATTGCTGGGTGAGTGGCAGGAATGCTGCTGGCCCCTCGGGGAGGAGGCAGTGACCCTGCTCTGGCAGGGGATTGGACTAGATGAGCTCCAGAGGTCCCTCCCAACCCCTACGGTTCTGTGATCCACCAGCCATCAGTCAGCTCATCCTTAGAGTGCCCCAGTCCTTGTTAGTCCCTTCTCTTAACTCCCGCTTACTGCCAGCCCACAAAATAGGAGAGAAGGCATTACATCCCATTGCAACACACTTTTTTGGAATTTAAATGGCAAAATAAAGTACAGAGCAGTACGTCTGAGATGGCTTTGTGCTGGAACAGCGATGAGGAGCTCTGTGGACCTCCAGGCTGTGTAGGAACTCAGTTAAAAGGTCCTCCAGAGACCTTACCTGCTTCCCTCCCTTCTCTCCTCTTCCATCTACCTGCTGTCCCTCCTGCCTTGAAGCAGGGGAAATAGCTCTCCCCTCTCTGGATTGCCCTCCTCTTTAGCCCTTCCTGCAAGTGCTTCATGAAACACTGGAGACACCTTGGGAAGCTTGGCTTAGTCTGGTTGCAAAGCAGGGAGCTCAACCAGGTGCAGGCAGCTGGAAGGCACTGCCCAAACGTTCCCACAGACCATGCTCTTTTGAGGGTAGAGGTGGGTTCTTGCAAATTGCTGAGCGTCTTTCCCCTGAAAATTGAAAATTCTTTGTATTTTCTTAAAATATCATAACCCACTTTGGAGAATGGCTGCTGGTATCAGCTGTCAGTGCTAACTGGGGGGTTTATAGTTCCCAGTTTGCTCCATTTATTGTATTTCAAATGTAGTCACAAAGTTTATCATCCTTCAGAAGGCAAGAAAACGCCCACTGATCACTGTAATTTCTTTTGCAAAAGTAGACAAGAACTAATGCTTGATTTTAGCAAAGGTCTTTGCTGCTGCTTTTACCATAAACAAATCCCACCTCACATCCAGTAATGCCCACGGGAGCGCTCCTGGTGTGAAACCATTGCAGTGTCCTTCAAACCCACAAAATCATTATTCTCCAGCTGTAAGGTATAACTTACATTGGAGTCTTGCTCTGGTCTGAGAAGGGACACTCTGAATGGTTCTGGATGGTCCCTCCTGTGCATCTCCGTGCTGGACTTGACCCACACAGAAATAAAACAGGAAAAACAATGTATGTGGTTAAATGAAGTTGTGGTTTTATTGATTCCATGAATTGACCACAGAATGGTAAAGCACCCTGATGGCTGACCAGCAGCCTCCAGCAAGAAGCCCTTCAACCACTCTGTGTTTCTCTTTGGAAGGAGGAGATAGAGCCCTCCATGTCCTCCTGTCCTTCAGGGAGGACTCAGGGACTCGCTAGCAGCAGACCAGAGCCCTCCCTAAGCTGGGCACCTCTTCCCAATGTACCCAAGGTGCTGTTTTACACACTGTGTCTGTGCCACAACTGTCTTGTACAAACACGTTGACACAATAACTGGACTTTCTGGCAGCTGTTGTGTAGCTGAGGGGGGAAAAAATAGGTACTGGCCAGGTTTGCTTTAAGGAAAAATTGCCACCCAAACCTGAGGGAGATGAGCCCCAGCCCAAGCAAGGTGGGCAGAACCCATGGGACAAAGCTCAGGAACAGAACTGCAATAAAAGAAGTGAGGCCACAGCTCTGGAGGGATGGGCTTCAGCAGCTCAGCATCTCCTCCCACTTCTGATGACCAACCTGAAGGAAACACAGGGACTGCATTGGAGGGTACCAAAGTGTTGGCTCATCAGTGTTTTGGCTGTATCCAGCCCCACATTTCATTGTTAAAGGTTTGGGTTTGGTTTTCTTTTCTTTTTTGCTTAATTTGAGCCTGAATTCAGCTGCTTTCAACCTCTTGATAATCCTGTGTGCGGTTGCTCTGGATAACACATTGAAAACACGTGTGCTGGGGGTCTGAGGTGCTTTTAGTGCTGCATCAGAGCCCACGCAGGTTTTGGGTAATTAGCAATTAGCAGCAGCAGTCAGATGAGAAGCCCAATAAAAAAATCAGCTGTGAGGGTCAAGAGGGGACAACATCACCTTGCAGTCCTGCTGAAATTCCAGTTCAACCACTGAGACGTGAGAGTTGTACAAGGCTGGAAAAGCAGGAGCCAGCTTAAACTCGGCTTTATTTTAGTGTTTAGAAGTAACACTGAAAAGGTGTAGATTTGGGTTATTACTTTGGCATTGGCACAGCTTTGGATGCTGCTTTCCCACTCGTCCCTCACAGAACCAGATTTTAGAAGGAGTTTCCCCGGATGGGGCAGCCACAGCTTCTCTGGGCAACCTGGGCCAGGCTCTCACCACCCTCACAGCAAAGAATTTCCTCCTGAGATCTCATCTCAATCTCCCCTCTTTCAGTTTAAAACTGTTCCCCCTCATCCTATGGCTCCCCTCCCTGATCCAGAGTCCCTCCCCATCTCTCCTGGAGCCCCTTTGGGACTGGAAGGGGCTCTAAGGTCTCCCTGGAGCCTTCTCTTCTCCAGGCTGAACCCTCCCAACTCTCTCAGCCTGTATTCAATAGGGTCACCTTAAAATTTTTCCGTGGGACAAGGATGGCTAGAAACATTCTCTATTTTGAAGGTCTTGTATGCTTCTGTGGGACAAGGATGGCTGGAAACATTCTCTATTTTGAAGGTCTTGTATGCTCATATATATATGTTCATGACTTTGGGAGATGGGTCATTTAGAGCCCTGCCAGTTTAGGACACACTGTTCTGTCACGGCAAATAATATTTTGTGAAAGGGTTTATATTATTTCTTTAAAAATGTAGCCTGGGGGAGATGAGGGAGAGTTCTTGGCAGAAACTGTTGCATGAAGCAGTGTGATAGAGCAGCCAGGGGATACATTGCATGCTAATAAAGTTCCTTCTTTAGTGTGAGAAGTGCATGCTTTGTGAGTGGCAGCGGGTCTTTTTTTTACCTTTTGACATTCTAACTTGCCCCATAATGAGGCATCCACCAGCACGGGCTTTTCAGCCCTTTCCAAAGAGCTGCCAGAACCCAGGAGATTTTTTTTTTTTTGAGAATAATCTGTGACCCGGCGAGGTTGGCTGGAAGGTTTGTTTGTTTTTCTCTCTCCCACTGGTTCCTACTATTCTCTTACTCCCACATCCCATCCGACTCTTGTTTTCAAACGCATTCTTCAGCCTTCTCCTTCCCTACCTACTGCATCCTGTGCTGCTTTCTGACTTCCTCCCCTTTTCTTAGAGTTTTTCTTCCCAGTTCCTGTTCGTTCTGGTCCCCGAGGAGTGACACATTCACAGTTGCTGGAGGCCCCAGTTCATGGGGCTTTTGTGAGGGGTGTAGAGTTGAGGTGAGGGGTGTAGAATCGAGGTGAGGGCTCCAGGAGACATCCTTCTCCTACAACATTGCGCCCCAGAGCTCTTTGCACCATTTTAATTTAAATTTAATTTAATTGTGTATATCTGTGCTTCACCCACCCCCATCTGCAGTTCAGCATTTAAGATAAAAATACTGACCAAAGCCCATCTTTGCTAAGCTATGGATGGTATTGCAAGTTAATTAACAGGTGGTAAATCGCTATTATCACTTCACTGGGTATCTCACAAAGAAGCTGAAAAGCTCCAAAGGGAGGGGAAGCAAAGCAAGTGGATTTGAACCATCGCCCGTGTCATGACTGGGGACATGGGAGTTGTGGGTGCTTTGACAGTGTTTTAAAAAACATGTAATTTCATGGGAAATTGAGACAAATGCATACCTGTGTCTGCTCTAAATCATATCGATGCAGTCCTGAGTAACATGCTCTAGCTCTGGGCAATCCTGCTTCAGCAGGGGAGTTGGACTAGATGATCTCTATGGTCCCTTCCAACTCTAAAATTCAGTGAAATTCAGTGAAATTTTGCAGTAAGGGTCCCGCAGTAGCAGGGAATGTGTCCCTGTGTTATCTGTGCCCCTCTCTCAGCTGAGGATCCTCACCCTCATAAGTCTGTGCTTACAACGTGTGCAGGAACTTCCTGTGCTGACGTCAACATATCCTGACTATAAATCACAGATATAAAACACTTACATGGCCAATATTTTCTCCATTGAAATGTTGCACGCGTAAGGCTGGAAAATGTAGGTCTTTGTTATCTTTCTGAGGATACACCTAATTTGTGTATCGTGAGCTTTGATATTACCTGAAAATACAGCTTAATAGATTATATAAAGAAGAGCATTTTCCAGCTGGGTTTAGGTGTCCCTTCCAACCTAGATGATTCTATGATTCTATGTAGCCAAAGGTTTGATTGATCTGACCCTTGCAGTCCACAAAAACTACTGCTTTAAACGGAAATGTGCCTGGAAGAAGAAACTTTTTAATGTAATAGTCACTGTGCTGGCAAATCTATCTTCCTGCTGATTTCTTATGCCTGTGATGCCCGGATGGTTATCAATCAGTTGTTTGCTAATGTACCCTTCTCTCCTGCTGGTTTATTTGTCACTGGGATTGATCCATTTATGTGTGACTGCACGTAGCAATTAGTTGTCATTTTTAATCTTATTTTACACCCTTTTGTGTATACAAGACACAAGGAGGAATCCACCTTGTAAAACAAGTTTGGTATAAATGGACTGGTGAGTACATATACTTGTCCTGTTGGGGTAGTATATGCTTTTACCAACATCATCCCAACACAGAATTAAATGTAAAGGAATTAAAATCTGATGTATTTTTTATCTATATGTGTATAAAAATTCACTGCTTTTCAGATTTCTAGATGATTTTGCATAGTTTTCAGTTAGGTTTTGTAATTTAAAATACTTGGTTTGGGATTGTAAGTGTAGCAGGTTGTTATTTCCTGAAAGACTACCTCGTTTAGTAATGAAAATATGATAAAATGAAGGTGATTTAAAAAATAGAGAAACACAACTATATGTATATATATTTTAGTTTAATGCATCTCTTCTAACTCGTTTCAGGTTGAAGAAACTTCTTGAGCAGGAGAAGATCTATCAAGCCCGGAAGGAGAAGGAACACACAAAGAGGCTCAATAAACTAAGAGAAGAACTAGTCAAGCTCAAATCATTCGCACTCATGCTGGTGGATGAGAGACAAATGCATATTGAACAACTCGGTCAGCAAAGCCAGAAAATACAGGACTTAACCCAAAAACTAAAGGAAGAAGAAGAAAAGCTTAAAATTATTAGCGCGAAAACAAAAGAAGATGGGCAAAAACTGATGAGGTTGGAGGCAGAACTTGAACACAAAACATCCTCGTTTTCTCAGGAACATGAGGAGATGACCGCTAAACTGGCCAATCAAGAGTCACATAATCGACAGCTGAGGCTTAAACTGGTGGGGTTGACTCGCAGAATAGAGGAGCTAGAAGAGACTAACAAAAACCTCCAAAAAGCTGAGGAGGAACTTCAAGAACTAAGAGATAAAATTGCCAAAGGGGAATGTGGAAACTCTAGCTTAATGGCAGAGGTGGAGAACCTCCGCAAGCGCGTGCTTGAAATGGAGGGGAAAGATGAAGAGATCACAAAAACCGAATCCCAGTGTAAGGAGCTGAAAAATAAACTACAAGAGGAAGAGCACCATAGCAAAGAGTTGAAACTTGAAGTGGAAAAATTGCAGAAAAGAATGTCAGAACTAGAGAAGCTGGAAGAGGCTTTCAGTAAAAGTAAGTCTGAATGTACCCAGCTGCACTTAAACTTGGAGAGAGAAAAGAATTTGACTAAGGATTTGATAAATGAGTTGGAAGTGGTGAAGACACGAGTGAAAGACCTCGAGGCATCAGAAAGCCAGTTGGAAAAAGCTGAAATAAGCTTAAAAGATGACCTGACAAAGCTGAAGTCGTTTACTGTAATGTTGGTGGATGAACGAAAAAATATGATGGAAAAAATAAAACAGGAGGAAAAAAAGGTTGAGGGTCTAACCAAGAATTTTAAAGTTGAACAAGGGAAAGTTATGGATGTAACAGAGAAGCTGATAGAAGAAAGTAAGAAATTTTTGAAACTGAAATCCGAAATGGAGGAAAAGGTGTCCAGTTTGACAAAGGAAAGGGATGAGTTAATTGGCAAACTGAGAAGCGAAGAAGAAAAATCCTCTGAACTAAGCTGTAGAGTTGACCTGTTAAAGAAAAGACTTGATGGTATGGAGGAAGTAGAAAGAGAAATTACAAGAGGTCGAAGCAGGAAAGGACCAGAGCATGGGTGTCATGAGGACAACAAGATCAAAGAACTGACCGTTGAAATTGAAAGGCTGAAAAAACGTCTCAAACAATTGGAAGTGGTGGAAGGAGATTTGATGAAGACGGAAGATGAATATGATCAGCTGGAGCAGAAATTTAGGACTGAGCAGGACAAAGCTAACTTTCTTTCTCAGCAGCTGGAGGAGATGAAACTCCAGATTGCCAAAACCAAAGCCATAGAAAAGGGTGAAGCGGTGAGCCAGGAGGCAGAGCTCAGGCACAGGTTTCGTCTGGAAGAGGCCAAGAGCAGAGACTTGAAAGCAGAAGTTCAAGCTCTGAAGGAAAAAATCCACGAGCTAATGAACAAAGAAGACCAGCTTTCTCAGCTCCAGGTCGATTATTCGGTGCTGCAGCAAAGGTTTATGGAAGAAGAAAATAAAAACAAGAGCATGGGGCAGGAAGTTCTGAATCTAAGCAGGGAGCTGGAGCTTTCGAAGCGTTACAGCCGTGCTCTGAGGCCCAGCATAAACGGACGAAGAATGGTTGATGTTCCTGTGACGTCCACCGGCGTGCAGACAGATGCTGTCAGCAGTGAAGCAGTAGAAGAGGAAACCCCCGCAGTGTTTATAAGGAAATCCTTCCAGGAGGAGAATCACATCATGAGCAATCTGCGACAGGTAGGTCTGAAAAAACCCATGGAGCGTTCTTCAGTGCTCGAGAGATACCCTCCGGCAGCAAACGAACTCGCCATGAGGAAATCTTGGATACCCTGGATGAGAAAGAGGGAAACTGGGGCTCAGGCAACTCCTGATAGAGGAACCCGAGCCCACAGTAGCCCAGCGCATCCCGGGGAGGTTGTCCTTTCACCAAAGCAGGGTCAACCTCTTCATATTCGAGTGACACCAGACCATGAGAACAGCACGGCTACCTTGGAGATAACCAGTCCAACCTCAGAGGAATTTTTTTCGAGTACCACTGTCATTCCTACTTTGGGAAATCAGAAGCCACGCATAACCATCATTCCCTCTCCAAACATTATGCCACAAAAGGGAAAAGGCAGCGAAAGTCCCATGGGCCCAGATCGTTCCATGTCTCCAGTCACTATCACGACGTTCTCCAGGGAGAAGTCCCCAGAGGGAGGGAGAGCACCCTTTGCCGACAGACCCGCGTCCCCAATTCAGATCATGACGGTATCGACGTCCGCAGCCCCGGCAGAAATCTCTGTCTCTCCACAGTCACAAGATATGACCATGGGAAGGGCTGTCTTCAAAGTAACGCCGGAAAAACAAACCGTCCCCACTCCCATCCGCAAGTACAACGCCAACGCCAACATCATCACGACGGAAGACAACAAAATCCACATCCACTTGGGTTCCCAGTTCAAACGCTCTCCCGCTGCCGCAGCCGACGGCGCCAGTCCCGTGATAACGGTCCGGCCGGTGAACATGGCGGCGGAGAAGGAAGTCGTGACGGGCACCGTCCTGCGATCGCCCCGCAACAACCTGTCCTCGCGCCCTGCGGCCAGCAAGGTGACGAGTACCATCACCATAACCCCCGTGACAACCTCTTCCACCCGAGGGACACAGTCGGTGGTAAGTGGCGTAGTCTCATCATGTCGTGTTTGCAGTAAGGAGGAGGGCAACCATGGCCTGGGTTTGAGACATGAGCAGGGAAAATGAGTGGGGTAAAGAAACCCTTGACTTCATAGAATCATAGAATCATTGAGGTTGGAAGAG